CATATTTGACTAACAGCCTGGCTTTGGAGTCTTTTGGCTTGGTCTGGCAGTCAACGGTTCGTACCTCACTGACAGAAGCTAAATAATCGGTTGGGAAGATGACTAATGAGTAAACAGTGGGCCTTTGTTATCACAAGGTCTCGTCACCGTAAGCTCATAAATACCGAAAGAATATTGAGGGAGTTAGTTAGTGTGAGAACCATCTACCCCCAAAAAAGGGCTGATACGAACTTAATCGCTGCCCCGCATGCCAATAATGAGCAAGCGCGGTGTATGACAGACAACAAACTACTCCGTCTGTGATTACAGGGCGCGATTTGTCAGACAAAATCCATGTCTGTCCTTGAAAATGAACTGAACTAATTCCAGACCAAATTATAGCCGTTATGTTCTTTTTTAAAGTGAATGGTAGTTGCTTATTTATTGCACGACGACATGATTCTTATAAGGTCCAACCCAAAGAGAACCCCCTGATAATAACATGACACATTGCAGGTAAGTAACTGGTAAGACCAACTGGATATGAGCATATGACCGAAAAGGCTCTGGTCTCTTCCCTCCCCACCTCTGTTAGCGGTATCCATCGTCCTTCATCAAAATCAAGGCCTTTAGTATGGTCACCCCGCAGCAGCCTGCACTACAAACAACTACAAACGTGCACAGGGTCCGTGATCAACGTTGAAAGAGGCGGCTACTCATGCTCTATGTGAGACCATAGCGGGTTGAGCACACTCCCGGGAACGTACGCAACAGATTTCAAGCCCAATGCGGGGACAAAAGACGACTGTACACGTTTACTTCTACAGAACCATAGCCGAAGATAAATTGGAATACAAAGGGCCAGCAATTGCTTACTCTATGACTTCAGTAGTTTTTTGAGAGTGTTCCTTTGACGTATGACTGGGACTAAATTGGTGCGAAGACGTCAATGGCCTGATTGTTGTCGTCGTCTCTTTTTTCGACCTGGAGGAAAGAAGATAAAATAACGCATTCTCTATAATGGCTTCAAATTCTCAGAAAGAAATGGATGCGTCGTCAATTTAAATGAGTCAAAAGAAACATTTGCCTCCGATGCACTCCATCTTCATCATCGAATAGTAATTTGAACACAAGGAACTAACCTTTGTGGCAGTTCCAGTTGTGACTGCTCTTTTTCCATATCCAGGTCCACTTGCGTCAGCAACACAGGCACCTCTGGTTCGGTCACAATCGACCTAAATTTATAAAGATACCTTGTCAAACGAGATAAGAATAAGGCCATGGCATTCGGAGTTGCCGAGCGAGTTGATGCTTTCAAATTATGGCAAATAACAATATAGTAGCCATCTCGACGTGCTCATTTGTCAATGTTTTATTATTAGTCTCATTAAGGAAGCAAAATGCTTACATACTCAGGAAGCTACGCTATATCGTAGAAGGCCAATCCAACACAATTCGGTCTAGTTCCTCGATCGTAAAAAATATTCCAATCAGTGATTAATAACACCATTTCTGTGCCTGCAACCCCAAGAAGTGTTTGGAAATGCAAGTATAATGGGGCACGATAAATCGATTGACAGCCTGGACAATTATGCATATGCCAGAATCGCCCCTAGATCGAGAGGTATAATATTTGAAAAGCACTTGATAGATTTCCGACGTTCCATTAAGCTGATGGTATCTTAAAATCGAATTCGCGCTCTGTCATTCCAAACGCTACGATACTTGGAAAAAGTGATCCCTGTGGTATTAAGTCTGAACTGTCCATAAATCACCAATCGGCATGATAATTCCTAGTCATTCACGTCAGGCACCCAATTCCCCCTCCCCGTCCCCTTTAAGTCGTTATTTCTTACCCGCCTCAGTCCGATCATTAAAAAGGGGACGTAGGGTTTGTTAAAAATGTTACACATATTGTGCAGATCAATTTTGACGTTGGAAAATCCTGCCTTTTCCCTAGGCCTTGCAAGGCTCCGGCCTTGTCATTCAAGGGCGATCACTACGAAGTTTTTTTGAATCATTGAGGATTCTTAAAGTTGCAAGAGCTGGAAATCACTTGCTAACAATAACCGAGCAATGAGCACGAAATGGGAGATAATCATGTTTGCTTTTTATCTGGTCTAAAACTAGTTGAGGCGAACACTATAAAAGCTTAGGTGCAGTCACTGTTTTGTCTCGTGTAGACCAAAAAAGTGCGCGGTAATGAAGTGTTCATGTTGACACAATTTGCAAACGAAGAAAGGCGTCACTGGAGCTGAACTCCAACATGAAGACAATGGGTAATAGGACTTATGATGGCTTTAGTTAAATTAAGATGTAAAGTAGAAAGGACAGTGTGGACAAAATATTGTCTAAAATTTGTTATCATAGGGGGATACTCAATTTTAAACAGGTAAGAAAAAAAAACAAGAACTCGCTGACTATGCCGGAAATCTATAAGAGGCTTCTGTGGTTAAAATTCTTATATGAATGTTTGTCCATTTTAAGTTTCAGACCGGGAAAAGTACTACTAGTAGGCTGAAGTTTAGGCCAATATGCGAGTTGATCGAAGCTGGATGGAGTAGTAAGGGGAATAAGTTGTCCACCCAGTTAGCCGAGGTCTGATTGCCCGACACCCTGCGGCAGTAGACTCAACTGATGCTCACCCTCTAACGATGACCCGGCTCGTAATACGTAGATATAATTATACTTACCGAGAGCGCAGTCTTACCGTCCTAAATAAGCCATCAGGGGCCAATTTAGAATTCTCCGACCTACTACTTGTTGCTATAGTTCATATAATTCCTCCTAAATAAAAAGTTTTAGTCATAGTACACATGCCAGAACTATGGCAGGCATTAAAATACTCAAATGGTTCATGAGGATGGGAATATTCCAAACACAAACACCAAGAATAGTATATCTGTTTTGGGTGGACACGGTCTTCACACTTAATTAGTGAGCGTTGCGTATAACCAACTCGGTACCCCAGATTGTAACATCCGTTCTTCATCGTCCAGATCTCCTTATGTGCGTTCAGCAACGAAATTTCTGGAGCAATGAAAGTTGCTTATCAACAAGAAAAGTTGGAAAAAACTTTTTGAAAGAGATAATACCGAGAAAGATCAAAAATCGAATCGATCACGAAAGTCAGTGAAGAGTTATGATATGTCTTTAACACCGATGATCCTGTATATAGTTTGAAAACGCGTACCCTGTGACGAGGTTTCATTTTGTTTCCGAAGAAGGCATTAGGCAGATGATCAAGATGAGATAGGACGGAGATCGCTTGTATTGCTATTTTACAAGCCTCCGTATGAACGAATAATTAGGCTTTCTTTACATCATGAGCGGGAAATGTCAGTGATCCGATCAAATATTGTGATGTTGCCAAAGATTCACTATTTAAACACGAAAGAAACAAAACGTCGACACGCTTCAAATGTTTCAGTGAGCACACTGACATAATCTCACTACGGAAAACGCAAGATAAACGAGGAACCAATAGGTCTACGGGGTCGTAGAAACCCACTTCGGCTAGTACAAAACTTACGTTTGACGAGCCTCTGGTAGGTATTCCGATATGCCATGTTTGTGGTCATTTTGCTCGCATCCAAACAAGTCCGTCAAGAATTCAGTCCTGAAATCCTCCCCGAAGGCGCATTCGTTGGCAGAGTACTAAAACATCATATTTTAGGAGACACATACCTTAGGGGTCATGTGAATTTCATTCAGTGTAATATCCTCGATCCTAGCTTGAAGAGAGAACGAATCTTCAAAGCCCTTTCCAGTCTTCCAGGGCGTTACTTGAAATTACTAACTTACAATTTCCCAATCTAACTGCGAGTCATAAAGAGCACCGGGAAGTTCAAAGGAGCCAAAATCATCATGAGATTGCAATGGAATCTCAATGTCCATCATATCAGGTTTCTTTTGTTGGAGAAACCTACGAGGAAATGAAGCAGTTAATTGCAACGAACTAAGGTGTGATTTTGGAAATTAACTGAAACCGCTTAGAGGTTCGTGGTCAACTGTAGGGAACGACTTCATAAACATGACTTTCTTAAATATAGGATTTTACCGTCTCGAACCCCCAAGAAAGTGCTAAGAAACTATCCGTGGCAGTAACTGTGGCGAGGTGCAAGCAGAGCAACAAACGGGTGCAGAATCACGACAGGAACTGGTAACAAAAATTTACCGCGAATCGTCTATTTGCGTCACCTGTGGCCGAAAAGCCACAAGCGAGCGGGAGTATAAGTCTTGGGCGTCTCCTAATTTTTCGAATAAATACAGACCATGTAAGCTTATTGGGTCATTGCTGACGGTGCGGGGCAATGTGCAAAATGAGGATACTTACGCAATATTAGTCGGATTTTCTCACAGAAGACCCGACACATTCCAAAAGTAAGCTGTGCCGAGAGATAAAGCGAAATTTTGGTCTTCTTTGCACCTGCTATGTATTCCATAAGTTCAAGGCTGGCAAAGTAAAGCGGAATTCCATGGCATACCATGAGTTCTCAATATCAAAGGAAATAATGTCACGTTTGGTGATAAATTTTGTGCCGCGAGTGGCTGCCAACCTTGCAAAATGAACATGGAATTCGGAAAAATTACCATAATATGCCAAACTTGCCTCGCCGAAGCGACAACAGCTCTCGAGAATAGAACATAGCTCCCTTCTCCGCTCGCTGGAGGAATCTTATAGGGTTGCGAATAGCTGCACGTTCTCTATTGGTCCTTGACGCCTGTTCGCTGATTTGTTAGTTATTTCCGAGCGTGTTTTTGGGGTACTAGTGTAACAGTCGGAGATCTGATCAGGGACCCGACCTTGAGTGTTTTAATGTACTGCCACGCTAATGGCATGATTCTTCCGTTTGCCTCGCTGGATCTACGCTTCCGAAGTCACGTGCCGACGAATAACTTCCAACCCCTCCCGATAAGTCGTTTTGCTGTATTTTTCGTTCTTCCGTAGCCTCGTTTATTAGTTATCCATTTTTGTATACTAGAATAAACTTATATTTTTTTATCGCCTGTGCTGCTTATAATGTGTCCGGTACGCCTGTCCAGTCCGATCCTGTCCACTCTGAAGTGCAAAGCCTTTTAGACCGGATTTTCCAATCGACTGGACCCTCTGAGTTCAAGTTGCCATCATCCCCTTCCTTCATTACCCGTGATCCGACATCCGCTACTCGCTCGGTCGCTACACTAGTGTAGAGGCCAAATAGGTTGGAGGAAGCATGCGATATAACCTGAGGCACTGACAGTTTTTTCTGGCTTACAACAGGCTGAGAAGTGTTGCTAGACTCACCATATCACTCATTTACCATTTTAATGGTAGACTTCAGGACTATCTACGGCCAACTACGGACTTTTTTCCTGATTTCATCTCCTATGTAACGCGTCCCTGTACGTTTGATGTAAACTGTTCCCGCGAACTTCACTAATGACCATATTTGTGCTGACTTTATATAATTACCTTTATAGTCTCAACCGTGGATGAAAAAACCATCTGGAGCTTGGGCCGTAACCTTCAAAAAACTGAGTGTGCTTAGCAGGATTTCGTATTGGATCCCTCATGTCTTACGAGTTGCCTTTACTTGTAGGAAAAACTGTCAAACGTCACAGACCAGGGCCGTCCAGCTGATACCATCTTTTTCAACTTCAAAAAGACTGATAATAGCGTTCCTCATGAAGGACTGCTACAGAAGATTTGGCAATTCGGAACCCAGGTAAACGTTTAAGGGGAATGAAAAGTTTCTTGTCACGCAGGCTGCAAAGACTGATTGTTGGTGCCACTGCATCCGAACGGGTACCAGAAGAAAATGGTGTTCCACGGGGTTCGGTCTTGGTTCCTCTCCTCTTTCCAGTATATATAAACGACTGTACTGTAGATCTTGACTGCAATGCCATCGTATTTGCGGAGGACATGATAATGACGCACAGAAACTGCTATACAACCTTAATAAGCTTGCTGAATGGTCCAGCAAGTGACTTCTAACGTTTAATGTATCCAAATATGTAGTCCTATGCTGGAAATGTGGTCGAAGATGTTTCCTAGAAGAACAGGGCACTATAAAAGGGGTCCCACTAAAATAAGTGGATGCGCACAAAAATTTCTGTATCTACGCAAGTTCAAACTTGCTTCCCTCCAAACACTGCAAAAGAGCCGTCTAATAGGCAGACGGCATCATGCACCGGATTAGGTGTGCTTTCACAGTCTTTCCTCCCGAGCTTTTCGCACACATTTGGTACATTCTTCCGACCGAATTTGAATACTGAATACCAACATGGATGCCCAGGCTAAAAAAAGAAAGCGAACCCATTAAGCAGGTGCGACAAAGGGCGACAAAGCTGGTGCACGTCTTAGAACTCTGACGTATTCATAAACACTGAGCCAGCTCAGTTTCCTTCCCCTATCCTATAGGCAAACTAGTTGTAACCCGCAATTGACATCCCGAATTATCCTCGGGCGCGATTGTTTGCTCACATTCGGAGGTTTCTTCGAGCTTACGGACATGAATCACCTGCTCGGTCATTCGTACAGGGTAAAACGCGAATGTACGCGCCTAGACCAATGAAGTTCTCTCACAGTCATCGTGTCGTTCGACCTTGGGACTTACTTCTGATTGAAATACTGACGTCTGATGTCATGGTTATATTCAAAAGCATTTGGATCGTTTGGTTTCGGGTAAACGACGATTCTCACTGTGAGACTATCTACAGCCAACCATGGACTTTATTTCTTGGTTTCATTTCCTGTGTAACGCATCCCTGCACGTTTGGTGTAAACTGCCCCGTAAACTTCGCGAATAACCAAATTTTGTGCTGACGATATATAATTACTTTTATAATCTCAACTGTGCATGAAAAGGACCACCTGGAGCTTGGCCCGCAACATTCAAAAAACTACATGTACTCTTATTACAGCTCCATGCTGACAAAATAATATTCAGCAAAATGTGCGTGTTGTTGTCTCCACTTTAGTAATATGTTCGTCGGAACTCAAACATTGCGCAGGCAATTTTCAATATTGTCTTCAAAGTCATGTCTACCACCGCAAACATACTACTTTTCGCATGATAATCCTCCGTTGTATTTGCAAGTTCCCAATTCGTCAAGTCGACGACTCATTTGATTTCTACCTTGTGATTGGTTGGGAGTGTGCTTTGGGAAAAAGTCAGGCAAAACAGAGCTAGCAATTTTTCTATTACTTAATATTTATAGTGCATTATCTTATTTAGCGTATCTATAAGAAAACTTAATCATGCTCTCACAAGTTACCGCACTATAACCCACGAGCTCACTTAACTTCTATTGGTTATTGTTAAGTCGACCACGGTCATATAAATACTTCCATAAAAATACAATGAAAAATCGCGTGCTCGCCCCTATTCCGACTAGGAGGGTGTCAGCTAGTTTACTACACAATCCCACCCCTAAAGAACCGAACTCGTATGTATATGTATACTGAAGGGTTACAGGCAGAGCCCTTGATGACCCTATTTATGTACAATGCTTTCACAGATTCATACTCAAAAATAAAATAAAATCGCAGGCATTTAAAATGTGATTGGGTCACAGTTCAATCGTAATCATAAGGTAGTGCATAGGGTCACTGTAAATTAGTGCGGAAGATTGCATATGACAGATTTTACAAAACTGGCTGTGCATAGTCGTGCTGTACAAGCCTATTTCTGTCGAAAACTAGACGAGCAAGTTCTCCTTTAAACAGACAAACTGTATCAGCCGTCACCATCTCGCTTGGAAGCAAGTTCCACGGCCTGACAACCCGCTGGCTGAATGAAAATTTTCGTCGGTCTAAACGCGTGCACTCATTCCCGACTTTGTATGCATGGCCGCGTAGTTGGTTTGTACGGGCGAACTCAAAAAAGTCCTCTGCTCTTAATGAGCAACCCTGGCCGCGAACAATCCGGAACGTCCAGAGTAGACTGCAGTTTATTTGTCTATAAGAGAGAGGGAATAGGCCAAGCAAATTCAGCCTCTCCTGATAAGACAATTGTTTCAGTCCGTCGACCATCTTTGTCGCTCTGCGTTGCACCTGTTCGAGTAAGTTGATATCCTTCCTCATCCATGGTGAAGCTGCTGGCATTCCATACTCTAGATGAGGTCTTACAAAGACACCAAAGAGTCTTTCGAAAAGTTCGGGAGGAAATATTTTAAATGCACGTCTGATCCAGTGTAGAGTACTAACTGCCTTCTGGACCATCTTTCTACAGTGTTCTGATGGCGATAGATTTGTGGTCGTCCATACACCCAGATCTCTGTGTCTTTCCACAGTTTCTAACTTCGTCCCGTCAATATAGTACTGGTGTTTGGGAGAGGCATTGAGGCCGGTGTTCAGGTGCAAGACCACGCATTTGGACACGTTAAACTTCAAAAGCCATCTGTTCGACCAAGAACACAGTTTGTTGATGTTCGACTGCAACTTCTCTGCGTCATCATCACACTTGACTTCACTCCATATTTTTATGTCATCCGCGAAAATGAGAGCCTCGCAATTCACTTCGCTGATGCAGTCATTAACATAAATCAGGAAAAGTACTGGGCCTAAGACAGAACCCTGTGGGACACCACTTTCCACCTTTACCCATTCCGAGGTAGAATTACTAACGACGACTCTTTGTAGTCTGGAGGACAGAAAACTCCTGATCCACTTAAACATTCTCCCTTGAATCCCAATATCCCAGATCTTTTGTAAAAGAAGCCTGTGTGGGACACTGTTAAAGGCCTTCTTGAAGTCAAAAAATATGACATCTACTGGGAAACCCTATCGGTAGCTCGTGTCCATTTCTTGTGTGAGTAAAGAACGCTCGTTAAGCAGGAGCGCCCTGGACGAAAGCCGTGTTGGGCATCACACAATATTTTGTTCTGTTCCACGTATTTCATCAAGTGTCTTTTGATAATACGTTCCATTATTTTACACGCGATGCAAGTAAGACTGACAGGACGATAATTTCCGCAGTCAAGTCTTGAGCCTCCTTTATGGATCGGAGTAATCAGTGCGCACTTCCATTCTTCCGGGAGCTCGCCGTCCTCAAATGACTTTTGAAATATTGCGGATTAGGGTTTGCACAGTTCATTAGCAAGTTCACGAAGTGCTAGGGCGGGAATTCTATCTGGGCCAGGCGATTTGGCAGGTTTCAGCCGGAGTAGCTCGGCCCTAACTATGGTAGATGAAAAGAGTGGTTCCTCGGTTAAGGAGGGTAGGGAGGGGATAGGATGGAGAAGGGTACTGGGAGGAGAGGTTGGTTGGCGAATGGATGGGTGGGCAAATATAGAACTGGGTTCTCTGGTGACGACGGACTGAAAGAAGTCAGAAAGGAGGGACGCTTTAACCTGGTCATCAATCTCCACTTTTCCATCTGCAGACCTGAGGGCAGGGATGAACTCCTGAATCCTTTTAGTACTTCGTATATAACCATATAGAATTTTCGGATGCTCCAACGAATTTCGGAGGATGTTTAGTTCAAACTTCTTTCGCAGCTTTGAGGCCTCACTTTTACAGGCGTTTCGTTGCCGCTTATATTCCTGTAAGTGTTTGTCGGAGCCAGTTAGTCTGTAACGCCTCCACAGACGATTCCTTTTTCTGAAAGAGGCCTTTAAGTCCGGGTTTATCCATTTTGGGCGGTTTGTGATTTTCTTTCTTCTA